TTAATTTATTAGTGCACTAAAATTACAAAAAATTAAAGAGATTCTCCGGTACTTTTGTATAATTTTAAATCCAGTAGTTCTGAAAGTAGCTTTTAGGAGACAAAAGCGCTCCACAAAAATTGCGTACTTCGTCACAAATGTTCAGATATCTGCACCACATCATTGCTCTCTCGCTCTGCTGTGTGTGCATCTTGCTAGCTGTCACTCAAATGGCGAGGCGCTTTAACTCATTCTAATTGCTAGGGGGCTGGCCCACGTTGGGGAAAGTGTAGGGAAAATGGGACAGCACAGCTTCCAGAAAAAGGTGCTTTCAAACTAGGGATTTCGTGGCTAATTGAGGTATGACAGTAATTTCCCTTATAGATTATGCATGAAATAAACATTGACACATCCAGCCTAAAACGGGAGGTGGAAAATACACTGAACAAAAATATAAACACAACATGTAAAGTGTTGTTCCCATGTTTCATGAGCTGAAATAAAAAATCCCTGAATTTTCCATACGCACAAAAAGATTCTCTCTCTCAAATTCTGTGCACAAACGTGTTTACTTCCCTGTTAGTGAGCATTTATCCTTTCCAAGATAATCCATCCACCTGACAGGTGTGACATATCAAGAAGCTGATTAAACAGCATGATCGTTACACAGGTGCACCTTGTGCTGGGGACAATAAAAGGCCACTCTAAAATGTGCAGTTTTGTCACACAACACAATGCCACAGATGTCTCAAGTTTCGAGGGAGCTTGCAATTTGCATGCTGACTGCAGGAATGTCCACCAGAGCTGTTGCCAGAGAACTGTATGTTCATTTCTCTACCATAAGCCAACGTCATTTTAGAGAATTTGGCAGTACGTACAACCGGCCTCACAACTGCAGACTACGTGTTACCATGCCAGCCCAGGACCTCCATTTCCGGCTTCTTCACCTGCGGGATCGTCTGAGACCAGCCACCCGGAGAGCTGATGAAACTGAGGAGTATTTCTGTCTATAATAAAGCCTTTTTGTGGTTAAAAACTCATTCTGATTGGCTGTGCCAAGTCCCCTGGCTGCACCCCTGCCCAGTCATGTGAAATCCATAGATTAGGGCCTAATGAATTTATTTAAATTGACTGATTTCCTTATATGAACTGTAACTCAGTAAAATCATTGAAATTGTTGAATGTTGCATACATATTTTTGTTTAGCGTATATATACAGTACCAGTCAAAAGTTTGAACACACCTACTCATTCAAGGATTTTTCTTTATTTTTACTATTTTCTACATTGTAGAATAATAGTAAAGACATCAAAACTATGAAATAACACATATGGAATCATGTAGTAACCAAAAAAGTGTTAAACAAATCAAAATATATTTTAGATTCTTCAAAGTGGCCACCCTTTGCCTTGATGACAGCTTTGCACACTCTTGGCATTCTCTCAACCAGCTTCATGACGAATACTTTTCCAACAGTCTTGAAGGAGTTCCCACATATGCTGAGCACTTGTTGGCTGCTGTTCCTTCACTCTGCGGTCCAGCTCATCCCAAACCATCTCAGTTGGGTTGAGGTCGGGTGATTGTGGAGGCCAGGTCATCTGATGCAGCACTCCATCACTCTCCTTCTTGGTCAAATAGCCCTTACACAGCCTGGAGGTGTGTTTTGGGTCATTGTCCTGTTGAAAAACAAATGATAGTCCCACTAAGCGCAAACCAGATGGGATGGCGCATCGCTGCGGAATGCTGTGGTAGCCATGCTGGTTAACTGTGCCTTGAATTCTAAATATATCACAGACAGTGTCACTAGCAAAGCTCCCCCACACCATCACAGCTCCTCCTCCATGCTTCACGGTGGGAACCACACATGTGGAGATCATCTGTTCACCTACTCTGCGTCTCATAAAGACACGGCGGTTGGAACCAAAAATCTCAAATTTCTTTCATCAGACCAAAGGACAGATTCCTACTGGTCTAATGTCTATTGTTCGTGTTTCTTGGCCCAAGCAAGTCTCTTCTTATTATTGGTGTCCTTTAGTAGTGGTTTCTTAGAAGCAATTTGACCATGAAGGCCTGATTCACGCAGTCTCCTCTGAACAGATGATGTTGAGATGTGTCTGTTACTTGAACTCTGTGAAGCATTTATTTGGGCTGCAATTTCTGAGGCTGGTAAGTCTAATGAACTTATCCTCTGCAGCAGAGGTAACTCTGGGTCTTCCTTTCCTGTGGCGGTCCTCATGAGAGCCAATTATTTATGTGTGCATTCATCCATTTATTTATCTATATGTGTGCATGTATTTATTCATGTATTTATCTATTTATGTGTGCATTTATTTATATATTCATTTCATGTAATTACGTCAGGTTTGGTCCTCCATACAATTGGCATAGCCATATGATCTATGAGAATTCGCTATTGTAGTGTATGATGAATTATGACTTTGCTAATGTTTTCAAGTGGAACCTGAGAGGATGTTTATTCAGTTTCAGAGGGTGCCGTTTTAGAGTGACACCCCATAGAACAGAGGGAGTCTGTTTGTTGGAGACAGGTGATTGGACAGTAGAGGGAGCCACCCATATTTTTGTAAAGATTATAAGTATGGGCTAGAGACAAAGAACATTAGAACAGACTTATTCTTTTGGGACTCTGTTCTCCGGATGCTATAGACATCTGTAAACTTATGCTGAAATCTTGTGATATGAATAAAACTTATGATCAAAGCTCAGTATAAGTGGACTCCTTTGTTACAGCATAATTAGCCACATTAGCTCGACACTACACTATATAAAACTGAGTGATGCATGGGGCTGGAGAAATGTAATAAAAAATAATTTGTTGGGTTCTTATATTTGTCCTATTTCAGACATGTACAATTATAATTTGGAAATGTGTTTTATTGCATATCCCAACTCCCCCTGAGACATTCTCGGAAAGTGGGGTCACAGCCAGGGTCACCATTGTCCAGTGCCGCCAGGGTTAAGTTCCTTGCTCAATGGCACATCAACAGATTTCCCCCCGACTCAGGGATTCGAACTAGCAACCTTTTGGTTACTGGACCAATGCTCTAACCGCTAGGCTATCTGCCGTATATTTGAGAATATAGGCCTATTATCAAATATACAGATGCAGTCAAACTATCGGCACCCGCACAATGGAGTGCAAAGGAGCAGAATGTTAAGTTTTCTATTTTCAAAACTGGTTGAATGGCTATTTCTACCCTGTAGTTACCTGAAACTTACCACAGGTGAGATAAATTACACTGTAAGCGAGAACTTGCATCTCACAAAACATTTTATTTTTTTATAATTTAGTCCAGGCCATTTTTTGACTTTGAAGTGAAAAATGTCCATTTCAGTTTTGATTTTTCTGCTTGGTCCTGTGAAGTTGTAAATTAAACAAAAACACGCGTGAACCCAAAGTTTAATCAATTATTTGACCGCAACTGTAGGTGTAGATGACCTAGGGATGTTAGGATTAACAGTTCATGACAACTGTGAAATAAAGTGCTGCCTGTCATTTTATTTGACACATTTCTTCATAGTTGAACATGTTGTGAGATACTGTATATGCATAACTGGTTTAACAACTTTATACATGGTCAGGTATGTGCTTGATTCACAAAAGAACAAAAGATATATAGTTCTCACGAGTTCTTTCTTTAGTTTGTCACAGGCCTGTAAATATAAACATGCTCAACTGGAATAGTGAGATGTTGTCAAACACTAAGCTTATACCACAATGACGTCCCAAGCTTGGAGGACTGATGTCGTTAGACACTCGCACTGAATAGAGACAGGGTGATTAAGTTAACTTCATTAGATATCCACCTGGAATAGTGATACTAAAAACTACCCGGTAGAAATCGTGTTATTTCATTGCCCCTTAGATGGCATTGAGGAGAGGCAGGAGACTCTCAAAGCTTCTGCTTTGTGTGATGCTGGTATTCATTGTGGGTTGGGTACTTATCCAACACAGTACTGTTCAGGTGAGCCTGTACGACTATGGCTACAGCCGGCTGGAGTACTCAGACGCCAATCACATCCCGCAGGATGACAGTGACTGCAGTGGCATCCTGCAAGGAGACATGATGGCCATCAAGCACGCAAAGGTCCTGTCAATTACAAGCAGCTTCCTCAACAGCACGCGGATCCCGGACGAGCACTACCTGGAGCTGACCCGGGACTGTCAGAGGTACAGGTCTACGCGCAAGTACCTGGAGTTCCCCCTGAGTCGTGAGGAAGAGGACTTCCCCCTGGCCTTCTCGCTGGTCGTCCACCACAAGGTGCAGAACTTCGAGAGGCTGCTTAGGGCCATCTATGCCCCACAAAACTTTTACTGCATCCATGTGGATATGAAGGCCAAACCATCCGTCCTTGCTGCCATCATAGCCATCACATCCTGCTTTGAAAATGTGTTCTTGGCCAGCCATCCGGTCAGTGTGGTGTACGCAAGCTGGAGCCGTGTCCAGGCTGATATCAACTGTATGAGTGATCTGTACAGGGCTAGTCCGCAATGGAAGTATTTCATCAACCTCTGTGGCCAGGACTTCCCCATCAAGACCAACCTGGAGATGGTGCGCAGCCTGCGGGCGCTGGCGGGGGGCAACAGCATGGAGTCGGAGGTCATGCCCAGCGGTAAGAAGTCGCGCTGGAAGAAAGTGCACCAGGTTGTTGATGGCAAACTTCAACAAACAGAGCAGGACAAAGCTCCTCCGCCCTTCGGTATACCCATCTTTTCAGGTGGGGCGTACATTGTGGTGAATAGGGGCTTTGTGCATGCTGTGCTGGAGGACAGCAAGGTGCTGGCTCTCATTCAGTGGGCTAATGACACTTGGAGTCCCGATGAGTTCCTGTGGGCCACCATCCAGAGGCTTCCCGGCGTGCCCGGCTCCATGCGCCCCAGCCCCAAGTTTGACATGACGGACATGCACGCAATCACCAGGCTGGTGAAGTGGCCGTGGCATGAGGGGGAAGAGGACTCCAGCTCTGCAGTGTATCCTCCGTGCCATGGTATCTATGTTAGATCAGTGTGTGTATACGGGGCCGGAGACCTGCAGTGGATGCTGCAGCAGCACCACCTCTTTGCCAACAAGTTTGACACAGACACAGACCCCATTGCTATCAGATGTCTGGAGGAGCACCTTAGACATAAGGCCCTGGAAGAAATACACTGACGCAAATTACTTTGTGTGCTCTGAACGTTTCGAACCTGTATTTGTTATCTCTGGGAGCCAACTCAAATGGAACTTTTATGGCGCCATCTCTGTTTTATCCATTTAAATGTCATCCTAGATAGAGGTGGTTTTGTTGGGATAAATAACTTTTAAATGTCCTGGTGATTTATGTCCTAATGATTATTTACATTAAAGGGAAATCTTGACATACCTTCATATTCTGATTGTACTTTCACTTTCAATATTACATGAACAATGTGATTTGTAAGTATGGAGGTGGTATTGATAGTATTTTGACTGATAATAATACATTCAAGTTTATATATTTATTTATTACTAGTCTGTTCAACCTCTCTTTCATAACGTCTGAGATCCCCAGAGATTGGAAAGCTGCCGCGGTCATCCCCCTCTTCAAAGGGGGTGACACTCTAGATCCAAACTGCTACAGACCTATATCCATCCTGCCCTGCCTTTCGAAAGTATTTGAAAGCCAAGTTAACAAACAGATCACCGACCATTTCGAATACCACCGTACCTTCTCCGCTATGCAATCCGGTTTCCGAGCTGGTCATGGGTGCACTTCAGCCACGCTCAAGGTCCTAAACGATATTATAACCGCGATTGATAATAGACAGTACTGTGCAGCCGTCTTCATCGACCTGGCCAAGGCTTTCGACTCTGTCAACCACCGCATTCTTATTGGCAGACTAAATAGCCTTGGTTTCTCAAATGACTGCCTCGCCTGGTTCACCAACTACTTCTCAGATAGAGTTCAGTGTGTCAAATCGGAGGGCCTGTTGTCTGGACCTATGGCAGTCTCTATGGGGGTGCCACAGGGTTCAATTCTTGGGCCGACACTTTTCTCCGTGTATATCAATGATGTCGCTCTTGCTGCTGGTGACTCTCAGATCCACCTCTACGCAGACGACACCATTTTGTATACATCTGGCCCTTCATTGGACACTGTGTTAACAAACCTCCAAACGAGCTTCAATGCCATACAACAATCCTTCAGTAGCCTCCAACTGCTCTTAAACACTAGTAAAACTAAATGCATGCTTTTCAATCGAACGCTGCTGGCACCCGCCCACCCGACTAGAATCACCACTCTCGACGGGTCTGACCTAGAGTATGTGGACAACTACAAATACCTAGGTGTCTGGTTAGACTGTAAACTCAACTTCCAGACTCACATAAAGAATCTCCAATCCAAAGTTAAATCTAGAATCGGCTTCCTATTTCGCAACAAAGCCTCCTTCACTCATGCTGCCAAACATGCCCTCGTAAAACTGACTATCCTACCGATCCTTGACTTCGGCGATGTCATTTACAAAATAGCCTCCAACACTCTACTCAGCAAATTGGATGTAGTCTATCACAGTGCCATCCGTTTTGTCTCCAAAGCCCCATACACTACCCACCACTGTGACCTGTACGCTCTTGTTGGCTGGTCCTCACTACATGTTCGTCGTCAAACCCACTGGCTCCAGGCCATCTATAAATCACTGCTAGGCAAATCCCCGCCTTATCTTAGCTCATTGGTCACCATAGCAGCACCCACCCGTAGTCTGCGCTCCAGCAGGTATATCTCACTGGTCATTCCCAAAGCCAACACCTCCTTTGGCCGCCATTCCTTCCAGTTCTCTGCTGCCAATGACTGGAACGAATTGCAAAGATCTCTGAAGCTGGAGACTCTTATCTCCCTCAATAACTTTAAGCATCAGTTGTCAGAGCACCTTACCGATCACTGCACCTGTACACAGCCCATCTGAAATTAGCCCACCCAACTACTACTCCTGAGTGGCGCAGTGGTCTAAGGCACTGCATCGCAGTGCTAACTGTGCCACTAGAGATCCTGGTTCGAATCCAGGCTCTGTCGCAGCCGGCCGTGACCGGGAGACTCATGGGCGGCGCACAATTGGTCCAGGGTAGGGGAGGGAATGGCCGGCAGGGATGTAGCTCAGTTGATAGAGCATGGCGTTTGCAACGCCAGGGTTGTGGGTTCGATTCCCACGGGGGGCCAGTATAAAACAAAATATATGTATTCACTAACTGTAAGTCGCTCTGGATAAGAGCGTCTGCTAAATGACTAGAATGTAAATGTAAAATGTACCTCATCCCTATATTGTTATTTATTTTGCTCTTTTGCACCCCAGTATCTCTATTTGCACATAATCTCTTGCACATCTAGCATTCCAGTGTTAATACTATTGTAATTATTTTGCACTATAGCCTATTTATTGCCTTACCTCCATAACTTGCTACATTTGCACACACTGTATATATATTTTCTGTTGTATTTTTGACTTTATGTTTTTTACCCCATATGTAACTCTGTGTTGTTTTTATTGCACTGCTTTGCTTTATCTTGGCCAGGTCGCAGTTGTAAATGAGAACCTGTTCTCAACTGGCTTACCTGGTTAAATAAAGGTGAAATAAAAAATAAAAAATAAAAATAAATATATCCTCTGTCTCTGGTACAGAGACTGTTGTGAAAAATCCAGTCCATGTTTTATATTACCAATTGATGTTATAATTCCAGTATTCCATGTTTTACTAAATAAATAGTTGAGCTACAGAGCGAGTGAACAACAATGTACAGTCGCTAGTGAAAGTCTACACACCCCTTGCATGTCTTCACATGCTGCTGCCTTAAAATTCAATCTAAAAAGGGACTAAATTGGATTGTTTTCCTATCGATCTACATAACCTACTTCACATTTTGAGTGAAAGAAAAATTATAGAAAATGTTACAAGTTCTCCGAAATACAAAATGAGGACGTATTGATTGCATGTCTTCACACCTCAGAGTTAATACTTGGTGGAAGCACCTTTGGCAGTCATTACAGCTGTGAATAATTTTGAATAAGATTCTACCAACCTTGCACAACTCTTATTGCAACATACAGTATATCCATTGTTTTTGTCAAAATTGGTCAAACTCAGTCAATTTGGTTGGGAATCATTGATGTACAGCAATATTCAAACCTTGTCTCAGATTTTTTAAGCAGATTTAAGTCAGGACGGAGACTGGACAATTCAGGAACACTCAACACCTCTAGAACCATTCTGGTGTGTCTTTGGCATAAAAATGTGTTGAATTTGTCACACCCTGGCTCTGGGGACACTGTTATGTTGAGCCAGGGTGTGTAATTCTATGTTTGTATTTCTATGTTGGCCTGAGTGACTCCCAATCAGAGGCAACGAGTGTCAGCTGGTTGTCTCTGATTGGGAGCCATATTTAACTGTCTGTCTTTCACTTTGTGTTTGTGGTTTCTTGTTCGTGTTGGTTTGTGTTTAAACCATAGACGTCACGTTTTTCGTTTTGATCGTGTGATCATTAAATAAATATAAATATGTTCACCTTCAACGCTGCGCATTGGTCCTCCTCCTTAGACGATCGTGACAGAAGAAACCACCAAGACAGGACCAAGCAGCGTGAAGAGGAGAGAGGATGGACCTGGGATCAGTGGAGTAGGAGTCTCGACTGGGCCCAGCCAAGTGAAGAGCAGAGAGGCTGGTCTATGGAGCAATGGATGAAGAGTCTCGACTGGGTCAAGCCGGGTGAGCAAGAGAGGGGCTTGACGTGGAAGGAGAAGGGCGAAAGGCTGGCGAAGAGTATGGAGACCTGGTCCACGGGTAGGAAAGAACCCCAGAACATTTGTAGGGGGGGGCTCACGACGTCGGGGCAGCAGGAGGCCGCGATAGAGCGGTCCAACTGGTTGCCAGAGGAGGCCGCCAGGTTACGGGGGCCACTCGTCGAAGAGGGGATGGAAGGTGTAGAGGCACGGCGAGAGGTACTGGGGTGTGTTACCAGTCCGGTCCGGCCCGTTCCAGATCCCGGTGTAGGGCCAGTGGTGTGTGTCCCCAGTACGGTCCGGTCTGTTCCTGCTCCCCGCACCAAGTCTGTGGTGCGTTTCGTCAGCCCTGTCCGGCCCGTTCCTGCTCTCCACACCAAGTCTGTGGTGCGCGTCGCCAGCCTAGTCCGGCCCATTCCTGCTCCCCGCACCAAGTCTGTGGTGCGTCTCGTCAGCCCGGCTCGGCCCGTTCCTGCTCCCCGCACCAAGTCTGTGGTGCGTTTCGTCAGCCCTGTCTGGCCCGTTCCTGCTCTCCGCACCAAGTCTGTGGTGCGTTTCGTCAGCCCTGTCCGGCCCGTTCCTGCTCTCCGCACCAAGTCTGTGGTGCGCGTCGCCAGCCCAGTCCGGCCCATTCCTGCTCCCCGCACCAAGTCTGTGGTGCGTTTCGTCAGCCCTGTCCGGCCCACTCCTGCTCCCCACACCAAGCCAGTGGTGTGCGTCGTCAGTCCAGCACGGCCCGTGCCTGTTCCCCACACCAAGTCAGTGGTGTGCGTCGTCGGTCCGGCACGGCCCGTGCCTGTTCCACTGGTGCCTGGTCCGGCACCGGTCAGATGCGTTACGCCAGAGCTAGAGCAATCCGCTCCATCAGTGTGCAGTCCAGCTCCGGCCAGCGGGGCCAGACCGGACCAGGGGTACTTTGGGGGGTTGGAGAGGGAGTGGGGATCAGGCCCGGAGCCGGATCCGCCGCCAAGGCGGAGTGCCCACCCGGTCCCTCCCCGGTGGTATTTAGTTGGCGCGGTCGGAGTCCGCACCTTTAGGGGGGGGTACTGTCACGCCCTGGCTCTGGGGACACTGTTATGTTGAGCCAGGGTGTGTAATTCTATGTTTGTATTTCTATGTTGGCCTGAGTGACTCCCAATCAGAGGCAACGAGTGTCAGCTGGTTGTCTCTGATTGGGAGCCATATTTAACTGTCTGTCTTTCACTTTGTGTTTGTGGTTTCTTGTTCGTGTTGGTTTGTGTTTAAACCATAGACGTCACGTTTTTCGTTTGTTGTTTTGATCGTGTGATCATTAAATAAATATAAATATGTTCACCTTCAACGCTGCGCATTGGTCCTCCTCCTTAGACGATCGTGACAGAATTGTTCTGCAGGAAAATAAAACTCTATCCCAGGGTTAGGTTTTCAGAAGACTGAGGCGGGTTTCCCTCAAAATGTTTACCTGGGCTTTGCTCCTTTACTTTTTTATTTTGATCTCAACAAACTCAAGTCCCTGCCGGTGACAAGCATACTCATAACATGATGCTGCCACCACAAAACTTGTATCCCTGCAATGTTTTAAGTAATGTTTAACAAACGATATCAGACCATAAGATAACATAACATAAAGAGGGACATTACAATACACTTGACCAACACTCGCAGAGAAAGGGCACATTGTAGACAGTAGGGGCGAGGGTAACAGATGTTTACTTTTACATATGTAAATGTACAGTATGTGAATGCACAGTGGCCAACTTGACTCACACACACACATGCACGGAAAAATGGACAGACATACCAAAATGAAAGTTTTAAACTTTTGAAGCTATACAGTGTTTGTTTACACAATTGCATTGTTTACAAACAATTAAGCAAAACAATCTTACATTTTGGGTTATGATGAGGCAAGACAGTTAAACTATAAGCTCATCAGGCATTTATACGTTTTATTCTTCAAGAATCAATGGCTATATATCATTAATTTAAAAGTCCAAAAAGGGTTGTACCAATCCCGGGTTTTGCCCCTTTAAATGATAGACAACCAGAAATGCAACACAGGAGCTTGCCGTCACCCTGCGAGAGTGTCACATTAATGATGTATTGTTGCTACAGCAAAATAATTTAGAAGTACCTTTTTAATGCCCCACAACTGTATGTGGGGACAACCTTATGATTCTGGATAATAACATAGTAATTGACTGATTGACAGGTTTTAAACATGTTTGTTTAAATGAAATCGAATTTCTTTCAAAAACTCTCATAATCCCCATTACTTCCCAAAATATGTCCGTTCCCCTTTAAATACTTATGCGTTATCCGTTGTGTTGAACACTGCCTGGATTCTTGCTGTGCCTCTGTCTTGCGTTGACAGAGTAATAAGGTATCATACATGGTAGAATAGCCTTTCCTCTTCACCACAGGTGTGTGCAGGCAGGAAGAGTGTGGTCTACTCTTAACCACAGGGTCATATGGCCAAACAGGTAGCAGGCACCAACAGAGTTCACTCTTTTATCCACTTTGTGGGAAAGAGAGAGGCGGGGTTGAAAGACAGTATCTTCATTAAACTATAGTATGGGCATACTGTTTTGTGAAAGTGTGAGAATGTAGACCTACGATGAGAGATTTAGAAATGTCTAGAGGGATGTGTCATTATTGGTTATAAGAGGGCACGTCAAAGGGACCTGTGTGAGTCAGAGATTGTGGTTTAAAGGAATTCCTCACATGCAAATTATTTAGTTTCTTCCTTGTTCCCATTCAGCTCTAAATCTGCCTATAGTGTTAGATAACATTAACATTAGCGCTCTTGTCTCGTGAGCCAGACTCAAAGTACATCTGGCCAAGGGGATATTATATAAGTGCTCCAACCCGAGATGGAAAAGGGATTTGACCAGAACACGGCTCAGAGCAAAACATATTATATTTTACTAAAATCCGTGCCACTCCACTTAGTATGATATGTTACTTTACGTTACATTTCAATGTAATAGCAGTTGTACAAAATACAGTACCAGTCAAAAGTTTGGACACACCTACTCATCCCAGGGTTTTTCATTATTTTTACTATTTTCTACATTGTAGAATAATAGTGAAAACACCATAACTATGAAATAACACATATGGAATCATGTAGTAACCAAAAAGTGTTACTCCTTTAATCTGCAGTCCAACTCATCCCAAACCATCTCAATTGGGTTGAGTCGGCTGATTGTGGAGGCCAGGTCATCCGATGCAGCACTCAATCACCATCCTTCTTGGTCAAATAGCCCTTACACAGCCTGGAGGTGTGTTGGGTCATTGTCCTGTTGAAAAACAAATGATAGTCCCACTAAGCGCAAAACAGATGGGATGGGGTATCGCTGCAGAATGCTGTGGTAGCCATGCTGGTTAAGTGTGCCTTGAATTCTAAATAAATCACAGACAGTGTCACCAGCAAAGCACCCCCACACCATCACAGCTCCTTCTCCATGCTTCACGTGGGAACCACACATGCGGAGATCATCCGTTCACCTACTCTGCGTCTCACAAAGACACAGCGGTTGGAACCAAAAATCTCACATTTGGACTCATCAGACCAAAGGACAGATTTCCACCGGTCTAATGTCCATTGATTGTGTTTCTTGGCCCAAGCAAGTCTCTTTAGTAGTGGTTTATTTGCTGCAATTTGACCATGAAGGCCTGATTCAGGCAGTCTCCTATGAACAGTTGATGTTGAGATGTGTCTGTGACTTGAACTCTGTGAAGCATTTATTTGGGCTGCAATCTGAGGTGCAGTTAACTCTAATGAACTTATCCTCTGCAGCAGAGGTAACTCTGGGTCTTCCTTTCCTGTGGCGGTCCTCATGAGAGCCAGTTTCATCATAGCGCTTGATGGTTTTTGCGACTGCACTTGAAGAAACTTTCAAAGTTCTTGAAAATTTCCGGATTGACTGACCTTCATGTCTTAAAGTAATGATGGACTGTCATTTCTCTTTGCTTATTTGAGCTGTTCTTTCCATAATACGGACTTGGTCTTTTACCAAATAGGGCTATCTTCTGTATACCACCCCTACAACTAATTGGCTCAAACGCATTAAGAAGGAAAGAAATTCCACAAATTAACTTTTAACAAGGCACACCTGTTAATTGAAATGCATTCCAGGTGAAGCTGGTTGAGAGAATGCCAAGAGTGTGCAAAGCTGTCATCAAGGCAAAGGGTGGCTACTTTGAAGAATCTCAAATAAAAAATATATTTTGATTTGTTTAACACTTTTTTGGTTACTACATGATTCCATATGTGTTATTTCATAGTTTTTATGTCTTCACTATTATTCTACAATGTAAAAAATAGTAAAAATAAAGCAAAACCCTGGAATGAGTAGGTGTGTCCAAACTTTTGATTGGTACTGTATGAAAATGAGATTTCTGTATTTCATTTCCAATAAATTTGGAATCATTTTTAAAATGTTTTCACTTTGTCATTATGTAGTATTGTGTGTAGATAGATGATATTTTTTTTTATTTGAATCAATTTTGAATTCAGGCTGTAACAACAAAATGTGGAATAAGTATGAATACTTTCTGAAGGCACTGAGCAATGAGTCTGGCAAATTGACCTAGAACAGGGATAGGCAACTTGGAGGACGATGTCATGCTGGATTTTGTTATTTTCCTCTGAAATCAGCATATGTCCACTGGCCCAGGGCCCTGAGTTGCCTATCCACGGTCTAGAATAAATGTCCCCTCAGTCTGTCGCCCACAACAATAGGCAGTATTTGGATGTTTTTCAGCGGCAGGGACTGGGAGACTAGTCAGGATTGAATGAAAGATGAACGGAGCAAAGTACAGAGAGATCCTTGATAAAAACCTGCTCCAGAGTGCTCAGGACCTCAGACTGGGGTGAAGGTTCACCTTCCAACAGGACAACGACCCTAAGCACACAGCCAAGACAATGCAGGAGAGGCTTCAGGACAAGTCTCTGAATGTCCTTGAGTAGCCATAGCCCGGACTTGAACCCGATCGAACATCTCTGAAGAGATCTGAAAATAGCTGTGCAGCGACGCTCCTCATCCAACCTGACAGAGCTTGAGAGGATCTGCAGAGAAAAATGTCAGAAACTCTCCAGATACAGGTGTGCCAAGCTTGTAGCGTCATACTCAAGAAGACTCGAGGCTGTAATCGCTGCCAAAGGTGCATCAACAAAGTACTGAGTAAAGGGTCTGAATACTTATGTAAATGTGATATTTCCATTTTTAATTTTTAATAAATTAGCTAAAATGTCTAAAAAACAGTTTTTGCTTTGTCATTATGGGGTATTGTTTGTAGATTGATGGGGGAAAAAAACAATTTAATCAATTTTAGAATAAGGCTGTAATCTAACAAAATGTGGAAAAGGTCAAGGGGTCTTAATACTTTCCGAAAGCACTGTACTGCATTTGTTGTCACAATCTGAAATTATTAAAATCTCTTTCTCTGAACAATTGTATTAGTATAAAATAATATAATTTCCCAATTTTTGTGTCGCATAAAATATAGTTCAGTGTTGGAATGATTTATTTTATACAGTCATTATTGCTGATCTTTTTCAAGGGTGTCAATAATTTCAGACCCCACTGTACACAGTGACAACCTGAACAACGTAGGGCTTTCTGTGATACTCTGGTATGTTTGAGAAAACATGGGTATCTCCACCTTATGAAGGGTCTGATGATTCCCAACACTGTTCAGATAAACCATGACGGATGGACAAAAATAAAGGATTTCAGATTCTTCCTGAGCCTGACATGAGACATGAAAGCACAAAAGAAAACAGGAGTCAGTGAGAATTTAAGCATGAGTCTGTATGTATGACGTGCTGCATGTACTGTGTGTGTGTGTGTGCGTGTGTGTGTGTGTGACTTGTTAACTCCTGTCAATCATATGGTAGCAGTTCTTCATCCAACCTAATCCAGGCATTCTCCTGCGGGGTGTGGCTTCGTTCAGATACACAATCATGTAATGTTCAGCAACCATGAGCTCCAGAGTGCTTATCACATACCTGAACAAACACACACACACAAACGAAAACACGCAGTACTGGTGAGAGCGTTTTGATTAGTGCTATCAAGCAATCTAAAAAAATCATCGCCATTAATCGCAGGATTTGCTGTGATTAATCACAAATTCTGAATTTGCTCAAATTAAGCTGTAATTTAAGATTTTTTATACAAAAATATTAATGTCTTGATTTTGTCTAACATAACGGTTCGCAAAATTAGGTAAATTTAGAAACCACATTTTATTTTACCTCAATGTCAACGTTGTTGTTTTTAGTTGTATATATTATGTATTTCTGATGTTTTCAGACAATGCAATTAATCGAGATTAATTTATTAGTGCACTAAAATTACAAAAAATTAAAGAGATTCTCCGGTACTTTTGTATAATTTTAAATCCAGTAGTTCTGAAAGTAGCGCTTAGGAGACAAAAGCGCTCCACAAAAATTGCGTACTTCGTCACAAATGTTCAGATATCTGCACCACATCATTGCTCTCTCGCTCTGCTGTGTGTGCATCTTGCTAGCTGTCACTCAAATGGCGAGGCGCTTTAACTCATTCTAATTGCTAGGGGGCTGGCCCACGTTGGGGAAAGTGTAGGGAAAATGGGACAGCACAGCTTCCAGAAAAAGGTGCTTTCAAACTAGGGATTTCGTGGCTAATTGAGGTATGACAGTAATTTCCCTTATAGATTATGCATGAAATAAACATTGACACATCCAGCCTAAAACGGGAGGTGGAAAATACACTGAACAAAAATATAAACACAACATGTAAAGTGTTGTTCCCATGTTTCATGAGCTGAAATAAAAAATCCCTGAATTTTCCATACGCACAAAAAGATTCTCTCTCTCAAATTCTGTGCACAAACGTGTTTACTTCCCTGTTAGTGAGCATTTATCCTTTGCCAAGATAATCCATCCACCTGACAGGTGTGACATATCAAGAAGCTGATTAAACAGCATGATCGTTACACAGGTGCACCTTGTGCTGGGGACAATAAAAGGCCACTCTAAAATGTGCAGTTTTGTCACACAACACAATGCCACAGATGTCTCAAGTTTCGAGGGAGCTTGCAATTTGCATGCTGACTGCAGGAATGTCCACCAGAGCTGTTGCCAGAGAACTGTATGTTCATTTCTCTACCATAAGCCAACGTCATTTTAGAGAATTTGGCAGTACGTACAACCGGCCTCACAACTGCAGACTACGTGTTACCATGCCAGCCCAGGACCTCCATTTCCGGCTTCTTCACCTGCGGGATCGTCTGAGACCAGCCACCCGGAGAGCTGATGAAACTGAGGAGTATTTCTGTCTATAATAAAGCCTTTTTGTGGTTAAAAACTCATTCTGATTGGCTGTGCCAAGTCCCCTGGCTGCACCCCTGCCCAGTCATGTGAAATCCATAGATTAGGGCCTAATGAATTTATTTAAATTGACTGATTTCCTTATATGAACTGTAACTCAGTAAAATCATTGAAATTGTTGAATGTTGCATACATATTTTTGTTCAGCGTATATATACAGTACCAGTCAAAAGTTTGAACACACCTACTCATTCAAGGGTTTTTCTTTATTTTTACTATTTTCTACATTGTAGAATAATAGTAAAGACATCAAAACTATGAAATAACACATATGGAATCATGTAGTAACCAAAAAAGTGTTAAACAAATCAAAATATATTTTAGATTCTTCAAAGTGGCCACCCTTTGCCTTGATGACAGCTTTGCACACTCTTGGCATTCTCTCAACCAGCTTCATGACGAATACTTTTCCAACAGTCTTGAAGGAGTTCCCACATATGCTGAGCACTTGTTGGCTGCTGTTCCTTCACTCTGCGGTCCAGCTCATCCCAAACCATCTCAGTTGGGTTGAGGTCGGGTGATTGTGGAGGCCAGGTCATCTGATGCAGCACTCCATCACTCTCCTTCTTGGTCAAATAGCCCTTACACAGCCTGGAGGTGTGTTTTGGGTCATTGTCCTGTTGAAAAACAAATGATAGTCCCACTAAGCGCAAACCAGATGGGATGGCGCATCGCTGCGGAATGCTGTGGTAGCCATGCTGGTTAACTGTGCCTTGAATTCTAAATATATCACAGACAGTGTCACTAGCAAAGCTCCCCCACACCATCACAGCTCCTCCTCCATGCTTCACGGTGGGAACCACACATGTGGAGATCATCTGTTCACCTACTCTGCGTCTCATAAAGACACGGCGGTTGGAACCAAAAATCTCAAATTTGTTTCATCAGACCAAAGGACAGATTTCTACTGGTCTAATGTCTATTGTTCGTGTTTCTTGGCCCAAGCAAGTCTCTTCTTATTATTGGTGTCCTTTAGTAGTGGTTTCTTAGCAGCAATTTGACCATGAAGGCCTGATTCACGCAGTCTCCTCTGAACAGATGATGTTGAGATGTGTCTGTTACTTGAACTCTGTGAAGCATTTATTTGGGCTGCAATTTCTGAGGCTGGTAAGTCTAATGAACTTATCCTCTGCAGCAGAGGTAACTCTGGGTCTTCCTTTCCTGTGGCGGTCCTCATGAGAGCCAGTTTCATTTACATTTTAGTCATTTAGCAGACGCTCTTATCCAGTGCGACTTACAGTTAGTGAGTGCATACATTTTTCAGACTTGCCCCTCGTGGGAAACGAACCCACAACCCTGGCGTTGCAAGCACCATGCTCTACCAACTGAGCTACAGGGGATGGTTGATCATAGCGCTTGATGGTTTTTGCGACTGCACTTGAAGAAACTTTCAAAGTTCTTGAAATTTTCCAGATTGACTGACCATGTCTTAAAGTGATGATGCACTGTTGTTTCTCTTTGCTTATTTGAGCTGTTCTTGCCATAATATGGACTTGATCTTTCACCAAATAGGGCAATCTTCTGTATACCACCCCTACCTTGTCACAACCCAACTGATTGGCTACCACCCCTACCTTGTCACAACCCAACTGATGGGCTCAAACGCATTAAGAAGGAAATACATTTCCACTAATTAACTTTTAACAAGGCACACCTGTTAATTGAAATGCATTCCAGGTGACTACCTCATGAAGCTGGTTGAGAGAATGCCAAGAGTGTGCAAAGCTGTCATCAAGGCAAAGGGTGGCTACTTTGAAGAATCTCAAATATAAACTATATTTTGATTTGTTAAACACTTGTTTGGTTACTACATGATTCCATATGTGTTATTTCATTGTTTTGATGTCTTCACTATTATTCTACAATGTTAAAAAAAATAAAAATAAAGAAAAAACATTGAATGAGTAGGTGTCCGAACTTTTGACTGGTAGTGTATATATATATACAGTGGGGAGAACAAGTATTGGATACACTGCCGATTTTGCTGGTTTTCCTACTTAAAAAGCATGTATAGGTCTGTCATTTTTATCATAGGTACACTTCAACTGTGAGAGACGGAATCTAAAACAAAAATCCAGAAAATCACTTTGTATGATTTTTAAGTAATTAATTTGCATTTTATTGCATGACATAAGTATTTGATCACCTACCAACCAGTAAGAATTCCGGCTCTCACAGACCTGTTAGTTTTTCTTAAAGAAGCCCTCCTGTTCTCCACTCATTACCTGTATTAACTGCACCTGTTTGAACTCGTTACCTGTATGAAAGACACCTGTCCACACACTCAATCAAACAGACTCCAACCTCTCCACAATGGCCAAGACCAGAGAGCTGTGTAAGGACATCAGGGATAAAATTGTAGACCTGCACAAGGCTGGGATGGGCTACAGGACAATAGGCAAGCAGCTTGGTGAGAAGGCAACAACTGTTGGCACAATTATTAGAAAATGGAAGAAGTTCAAGGTGACGGTCAATCACCCTCGGTCTGGAGTTCCATGCAAGATCTCACCTCGTGGGGCATCAATGATCATGAGGAAGGTGAGGGATCAGCCCAGAACTACACGGCAGGACCTGGTCAATGACCTGAAGAGAGCTGGGACCACAGTCTCAAAGAAAACCATTAGTAACACACTACGCCGTCATGGATTAAAATCCTGCAGCGCACGCAAGGTCCGTCTGAAGTTTGCCAATGACCATCTGGATGATCCAGAGGAGGAATGGGAGAAGGTCATGTGGTCTGATGAGACAAAAATATAGCTTTTTGGTCTAAACTCCACTCGCTGTGTTTGGAGGAAGAAGAAGGATGAGTACAACCCCAAGAACACCATCCCAACCATGAAGTATGGAGGTGGAAACATCATTCTTTGGGGATGCTTTTCTGCAAAGGGGACAGGACGACTGCACCGTATTGAGGGGAGGATGGATGGGGCCATGTATCGCGAGATCTTGGCCAACCAGCTCCTTCCCTCAGTAAGTGCATTGAAGATGGGTCGTGGCTGGGTCTTCCAGCATGACAACGACCTGAAACACACAGCCAGGGCAACTAAGGAGTGGCTCCGTAAGAAGCATCTCAAGGTCCTGGAGTGGCCTAGCCAGTCTCCAGACCTGAACCCAATAGAAAATCTTTGGAGGGAGCTGAAAGTCCGTATTGCCCAGCGACAGCCCCGAAACCTGAAGGATCTGGAAAAGGTCTTTATGGAGGAGTGGGCCAAAATCCCTGCTGCAGTGTGTGCAAACCTGGTCAAGACCTACAGGAAATGTATGATCTCTGTAATTGCAAACAAAGGTTTCTGTACCAAATATTAAGTTCTGCTTTTCTGATGTATCAAATACTTATGTCATGCAATAAAATGAAATTAATTACTTTAAAATTATACAATGTGTGTACCTATGATAAAAATTACAGACCTCTACATGCTTTGTAAGTAGGAAAACCTGCAAAATCGGCAGTGTATCAAATACTTGTTCTCCCCACTGTATCTCTCTACTACGTGATGTGTGTGTATCTATGTGGTCCTGATGTAAAAGAACACATACCTGGTTGAGAATGTCAGAGTTGTCTGAGTACACTGCCACCTGCTGGCGTGAATGGCGAGGGTCACTCTGGTGAGATGAGACTACGACTAGACTGTCATAACCATGGTGGTGACAGAATGACTTGAACTCCCCATTCAGGCCATGATGAGCATTCCAGTCCTAGGTGGTCATATGAAAGTAGGAAAGATATGTGTTAGATTTAAAGACTCACTCCAGCCTCCAGCTTCCCTAGCGCAATACTTAGTATCTCAAATTGATTGTGTAGCTCAACAAAGTCACTTATAGATGATTTGGACTTAATGCACAAAAAATGCTAATATAGGTACCATGACTTGCATGGGATTTGTGCCAGAGATGCTAAAACGTTAGCATTTGGAAAACAGTGCCAGTGAAACTAAACCAAAGCATGGATTGTGATCATACCGTGTCCATAGACTGCTTACAGGGTAAGGCAAACAATTTGTAATTTGGGTGATCTATTCCTTTAATATTAATTAATTATTTATCTAAACCATTTTGTGCCACTTAAAAAACTCCACTTAAACTGATATAAAAACGTTTTGGTCCCGGGTCTACTTTTTTGCATCGAGTCAAAAGTGTTTATAAGAATGTGTTTGTCTATTTTGATGAGTGACTAAGCTGTCAGGGCACAGAGAGGGGTAATGAGACATTTTATGATTTATCATTTGCTCTTAACACATCAAACATTCCTAGATTATGGTAATTCTCTGACAGCTCCGGTGATTGATGGAGAGAAAGTTGCATTAATTAATGGGTTTGTTTGTCAAGGGAGCTTGTTTTTTCCATCTAGTTTTTTTTTTCTCTTCAATGATTAACAATGATGCTGTGGCATCCCTAATTTGCAAGACAATGTTCATGAAAAAAGTGTGTTACATTTTAAAACAAATAGTGAAATGAATCACTATATTTGTTGCATGATGGTTGTTTGTTTTTTCAATGGCGCACAAGTTAACATACTTGTATGCTTTTAAATAACACCCTTCATTTTTTTAAAGAAACCTATGTCATTATAACTTATAATAATACAGGGAAATTGTCAACACATTAAAACACAACATTATATCAAATATAAACAAAAAGATAACATGAATTGAATAGATTTAGAAAATGAACAAATATTGTTTAAATAAGTACTGTGTGTACAAGTACATTGTAATTGCATGAAATATATGTGTAAAGAAACTTCTCAGTCTCCTTCCCTGGTGTTTCCAGATCAATTAAGGAAAATTCTGCCATTAAGACTGGTATAATGTGTCCTGGGACAGGAAGCAGTTTATGAACTATTGTAACGCAGTATAGGAAGTGAATACCTACTGCACATCTGCAGAGGCAACAGTGGATATCTATAAGAAGAGGTTGACATACTATGTCCAGGGCATTATCAATCACTCCTCTCTCTTTGCATCTCTGCAACCTTGTTACACACCATTCCAGGCTACATTCCCTGTGCTGTGTCTGTGTAGTTGCGTGCGACACGCCTGAGTATGTGTGTGTGTGTGCGATAGTGCATTGTGAGTTGTGCGATCCGTGCCTGTGCCTGTGCGTTGTGTGAAGGCCCAGTAGAAGTGATGGATGGATGCTGTAGAGCATGTTGTTGCCCAGGCTGAGATAATATTAACCTATGTGGATGAGGGCCACACGGCTTCTCTCTTGGCTCTCCCCCTGCACAATATGGCTGCTGTCAGGGAGAGCCCCATCAATCTGATCACACACAACTGTCACCCCGGCGACACAGTCATTTTCCACCAGCGATATCCTGATGAGTGCAATGAGGCCTCTGCAGCCTTGTTAAAAACACACATATTCACTCACTCACACAGGCAAAAGCACACACCCACTCAAGGACACACCAACTCAAGGACATGCACACACATAAACACACGCTGTATATAATATGTCGACTCATGAACACAATTATACAAACAGTGATGTGCACATACCTTGCACCCACCCCACCCCACACAAGCTGGAAAACACAGAGAGAAAGTAAAGCACAAATCAGATGACACGCAGAGCCACAGTCTGTCTGCCATTTGTTTGTAACGCGAGTAAATTACAAGCCACATCCCCCCCATGCTCGCCCCCCAACATCCCCAAATCATCAGCTATAATTTCACTTACTAACCTCATGATACCAACCCATGGCCTCTCTTTCACATTGCCTAAAAGCACAGAACCCATCTTCTAAACTTTAAACACCCTATCTACATCGGAGTTATTTCTAAAGAGATTTTCCTCCACGAAGATTCACTCCCCCCTCCCCCGTCATTCCACCTATTCAAACAGAGCCTCTCACGTTCCTCTCCTTACCCCACCCCATGGTTTTGTACCTCTCATGTAGAGGATCTACAGTGAGGGAAAAAAGTATTTGATCCCCTGTTGATTTTGTATGTTTGCCCACTGACAAAGAAATGATCAGTCTATTTTTAATGGTTGTCAAGGGGTGCTGAAGGTGGGTGTGGTGCATGAATCAAGCGCAGGACACAGAAGCTCAGTCCAAAAGACTTTAGTGCAATATTCACGTAGAAAATAAGCACAATAAGCCCGAAGGCGAAATAACGGCGCACACAGGCGTCAAACAAACGGCGCACTAACATGTGCGAAAAACCTCTCCAAAACACTGGAGGGAAGTACGTAGCTCCAACACGCAACAGAAGAGCAATCACACACAAAGACAAACACACACAACGAGAACTAAATAGGACACTAACGAGGACTAACAAGACACAGGTGTACAACATCAAGACAAAACCAAACGAACATGAAACATAGATCGGTGGCAGCTAGTACTCCGGGGACGACGACCGCCGAAGCCTGCCCGAACCAGGAGGAGGAGCAGCCTCGGCCGAAACCGTGACAGTACCCCCCCCCCTTGACGCGCGGCTCCAGCCGTGCGCCGACCCCGGCCTCGGGGACGACCAGGAGGACGCGGAGCAGGGCGCGCGGGATGGTCCCGGTGGAACTCGACAGGAGAGGTCTAGGTGTCCCTCCCGGGGCCCAGCACCCTCCCCCGGGCCCCCACCCCCCCTCCTGTGGCGGTCCCAGGAGAGCCAGTTTCATTTCATTTTAGTCTTTCCCCAGACGCTTTTATCCAGTGCAAAACTTACATTTAAAGTGAGTGCATACTTTTTTCAGATTTGGGCCCCCTGGGGGAAACAAAAACCCAACCCTGGCTTTTGCAAGCCCCAAATGCTTCCCAACGGAGCTACAGGGGAGGGTTTGTCAAAACCCTTGAGGGTTTTTGCGACGGCATTTGAAAAAACTTTCAAAGTTCTTAAAATTTTTCCCAGATTTGATGACCATGTCTTAAAGTGATGATTGAAATGTTGTTTTTTTTGGCTTTTTGAGCGGTTCTGCCAAATATGGACTTTGATCTTCCCAAATGGGGCAACCCTTTGTATACCCCCCCCTCCCTTTGTCAAAAAACCCAAACCTGTTTGGCTACCACCCCTCCTTTTTCCAAAACCCCAAAATGAGGGGTAACGTTTTTAAAAAGGGAAAATACTTTTCCACAAATTTAAAATTTTTAAAAGGGGGCCACACCTGTTAATTGAAATGCTTTCCCAGGGGGGACCCCTCATGAAGTGGTTGGGGAAAAATGAAAAAGAGGTGCAAAGCTGTCATAAAGGCGGGGGTTTGGCTCTTTGAAGAATCTAAAAAATAAAAACATATTTTGTTTTGTTAAACACTTTGTTTGGTATTTACATGATTCCATTGTGTTTATTTATTGTTTTGTGCCCTTCCCACTATTTTTTCTAAAATTTTAAAAAAAATAAAAAATAAAAAAAAAAACATGAATGAGAAAGGGCCCAAATTTTGGGAACTGGTAGGGATATATTTTTACAGTGGGGGAAAAAGTTTTGGATACACTGCCGTTTTTTGGGGGTTTTCCCTATTTAAAAAAAGCAGGGTATATCTGCCCTTTTTATATGGTCCCACAAAAACCTGTGAGAGACGGAATCTAAAAAAAAAATCCAGAAAATCACTTTTTTAGGGTTTTTTAAAATTAATTAATTTGCTTTTTATTGCATGCCCTAAGTATTTGATCCCCTCCCAAAACCGTAAGAATTCCGGCTCTACCAGCCCTGTTAGTTTTTTTTTTAAAGAACCCCTCCTGTTCTCCACTCATTACCTGTATTAATTTGCCCCCGGTTTAAAACCGTTCCCTGTAAAAAAGACACATGTCCACAAAATCAATAAAAAAGCCCAACCTCTCCCCAAGGGCCAAGACCAGAGAGCTTTTTTTAAAGGGAATCGGGAAAAATTTTTAGACCTGCACAAGGGGGGAGGGTTACGGGAAAATAGGAAAAGGGGGCTTGGGGGAGAAGGCCAAAAATTTTGGGGCAATTTTAGAAAATGGAAAAGAAAGGGAAGAGGTTTCAACCCCACCCCTCGGTCGGGGGGGCCCCGGAAAGGGAATTCACCTGGGGGGGCACCCCAATGATCATGGGGAAGGTGGGGGGACACCCCCGAACTACACGCGGGGACCTGGTCAATGCCTTTAAAAGGAGCTGGGACCACAGTTAAAAGAAAAAAATTAGAAAACCCCATACGCCTTTTTAAATGGTTTTTAAAACCTGCAGCGACCCCAAGGTCCCCCGCTCAAGCCAGGCATTGCCCGGGCCCCGTCGGGAAGTTTCCCCAAAATGCCCAATCTGGATACCCAGAGGAGGAAGGGGAAAGAAGGTCTTTGGGGTTTTGATGAGCCCAAAAATATAGTTTTTGGTTTAAACCCCAAATCCCGTGTTTGGGGGAAAGGGAAGAAAGGAAAAAATGTAAAACCCCCAAAAAACCCACCCCCCCAACCCCCAAAACCCTGGAGGGGGAAAACCCATTTTTTTGGGGAGCTTTTCTAAAAAGGGGGAAAGGGGGAAAACAACCGTTTTTTGGAAGGGGGAGGAGGATGGGGCCAGGTATCGCGAGGGGGATCTTGGCCAACAAAACCCTTCCCTCAGTAAGGGGCATAAAAGGGGGAGGGGTCGGGGGCGGGGTCTTCCAGATGAAAACGACCCGAAACACACGGGGCCAAGGGCAATAAGGAGTGGTCGTAAGAAGTTTTCAAGGTCCTGGAGTCCTAGCCAGTCTCCGCCCTTAAACCCCAAATTTGGGAAAAATTTTGGGGGGGAGCTAAAAAGCCCGTTTTCCCCACGACACCCCCCAAAACCCTGACGGATCTGGAAAAGGGGTTGTATGGAGGAGGGGGAAAAAGTCCCCCCTTTGCAGTGGTCAAACCTGGTCAAGTTACGGGGGAAACGTTGATCTCTGTAATTCCCAAAAAAAAGGTTTCTGTCCCAAAAAATTTTAAATTTCGGGCTTTTGATGTATCAAATATTATGTCAGGCAAAAAAATGCTAATTAATTACAAAAAAATTTTACAAGGTGATTTTTTTGGTTTGAATTTGTACCTATGAAAAAAAATTACAGACCTCTACATGTTTTTGTAAAAGTAGGAAAACCTGCAAAATGGGCCCAGTGTTCAAATATTTGTTCTCCCCACGGGTTTTTTAAAAAAAAAAGTTGGTCACAACAAACTTTTTGCCCAAAAATACAAAAATCTTTTTAAAAATTTAGATCCCCCCTTTCTCATGAACGGGGAACTCAAACAAAAACCCCAACCCAAAAATTTTAATATAAAAAAAATGACACACCAAACCACAACCCTCAGGCCCTGGGGGGAAAGCAAAAGAATTTCCTACCCAAGAAAAAGCAAAGCACCATTTAGGGTTTTAAAACAGCCCCCAAATCACCTTTAAAACTACACTTATTTACTTTTTTGGAAAAAAAATTGTTTGCCCCCAAGTAAAAATTTAAAAAACAGTTTTTAAGAATTTTAGAGGGAAGGCCCATTCACCATGGGCACTTCCCCAAAAATATGAGGTTGGTTGAGAGTAATGTATCATAAAAATATGGGGGAGGTTTTTTACATTCGGGCCCAGCTTTTGACATTATCGATCATAATCTACTGCTGGAAAAACGTTACAGTGCATTTGGAAAGTATTCAGACCCCTTAACCTGGTTCCAACATTTGTTACGTTACAGCCTTATTCTAAAATGGATTATATAAATACAAATCCTCATCAATTAACACAGAATACCCCATAATGACAAAGCGAAAACAGGTTTTTCTAAATTAAACATTTAGAAAAATAAAAAAACAGAAATACCTTATTTACATAAGTATTCAGACCCTTTGCTATGAGACTCGAAATTGAGCTCAGATGCATCCTGTTTACATTGATCATCCTTGAGATGCTTCTACAACTTGATTGGAGTCCACCTGTTGTTAATTCAATTGATTGGACATGATTTTGAAATGCACACACCTGTCTATATAAGGTCCCACAGTTGACAGTGCAAGCCATGAGGTCAAAGGAATTGTCCGTAGAGCTCCGAGACAGGATTGTGTCGAGGCACAGATCTGAGGGAGGGAACGAAAAAAATGTCTGCAGCATTGAAGCTCCCCAAGTACACAGTGGCCTCCATCATTCTTAAATGGAAGATGTTTGGAACCACCAAGACTCTTCCTAGAGCTGGCCGCCCGGCCAAACTGAGCAATCTGGGGAGAAGGGCCTTGGTCAGAACCGAATATAATAGCATAGTATAACGTTACTGTAAGACAAAAAACACCACCTCATGATTTTGCGAATGGTCACATTTTTCTCTCAGGTGGCCAAAACTCAACAGCGTGCGTCATTAGGCAAAATATGTGCTTTGATTGAAACTAAACACAGCTGGACTATGCTACAGTTAACATCATCTGCTAAAAAATGTGGTCACTGAACATAATTCAAAACAACATTGTAGGCTACTTCGAAACTGTAGCCTATAACTTAAGAAGATCTAAATGCATATCCCCATGAAACTGATCACTGGTAAAATTTGAAGAATTGACAGTGAGAAACGTGAAGGGTGTGGTAAAGGGACAGGTCGGTTACCTACGGATCTGCAGCCTGGCCTTAAATAAAAGGCTCTTGGGTACACTAGTCCCTCCCTGACAGGCAGACCGGAATTTCCAGTTGAGATAAGGTCAGTGGTTACTACTTTCCCTGCTTGGCCTCCGACCGCAAGGCACTACAGAGGGTAGTGCGTACGGCCCAGTACATCACTGGGGCCAAGCTTCCTGCCATCCAGGACCTCTATACCAGGCGGTGTCAGAGGAAGGCCCTCAAAATTGTCAAAGACTCCAGCCACCCTAGTCATAGACTGTCCTCCCTGCTACCGCACGGCAAGCGGTACCGGAGTGCCAAGTCTAGGTCCAAAAGACTTCTCAACAGCTTTTACCCCCAAGCCATAAGACTCCTGAACAGCTAATCATGGCTACCCGGACTATTTGCACTGCCCCCCCACCCCATCCTTTTTACGCTGCTGCTACTCTGTTAATTATTTATGCATAGTCACTTTAACTCTACACACATGTACATATTACTTCAACTATCTCAACTAGCCGGTGCCCCCGCACATTGACTCTGCACCGGTACCCCTCTGTATATATAGCCTCCCTACTGTTATTTTATTTTACTTCTGCTCTTTTTTTCTCAACACTTTTTTTGTTAAAATAAATGCACTGTTGGTTAAGGGCTGTAAGTAAGCATTTCACTGTAATGTCTGCACCTGTTGTATTCGGCGCATGTGACCAATAAAATTTGCTTTGATTTTATTTGATCACATCTGATTTCAGGCTTGAAGTTTAACACCCACACAGCAGTCAATACAAAGTGAAAATTCATAAATAAATAAATATTTATAAATTGATAAAACATTCTAAATTGACCTTGTGATACATGTCGTGTAGGAACCTTGGCAGAACTTTGGCATATACACTACCAGTCAAACGTTTGGACACACCTACTCATTCAAGGGTTTTTCTTTATTTTAAAATTGTATAATAATAGTGAAGACATCAAAACTATGAAATAACACATATGGAATCATGTAGTAAACAAAAAAGTGTAAAACAAATCAAAATATATTTCATATTTGAGATTCTTCAAATAGCCACCTTGATGACAGCTTTGCACACTCTTGGCATTCTCTCAACCAGCTTCATGAGGTAGTCACCTGGAATGCATTTCAATTAACAGTTGTGCCTTCTTAAAAGTTAATTTGTGGAATTTCTTTCCTTCTTAATGCGCTTGAGCCAATCAGTTGTGTTGTGACAAGGTAGGGGTGGTATACAGAAGATAGCCCTATTTGGTAAAAGACCAAGTTCATATTATAGCAAGAACAGCTCAAATAAGGAAAGAGAAACGACAGTCCATCATTACTTTAAGACATGAAGGTCAGTCAATCAGGAACATTTCACGAATTTTGAAAGTTTCTCCAAGTGCAGTCGCAAAAACCATCAAGCGCTATGATGAAACTGGCTCTCATGAGGACTGCCACAGGAATGGAAGACCCAGAGTTACCTCTGCTGCAGAGGAGAAGTTCATTAGAGTTACCAGCCTCAGAAATTGCTTCACAGAGTTCAAGTAACAGACACATCTCAACATCAACTGTTCAGAGGGGGCTGTGTGAATCAGGCCTCCATGGTCGAATTGCTGCAAAGAAACCACTACTAAAGGACACCAATAAGAAGAAGAGACCTGCTTGGGCCAAGAAACACGAGCAATGGACTTCAGACTGGTGGAAATGTGTCCTTTGGTCTGGAGTCCAAATTGGAGATTTTTGGTTCAAACCGCCTTGTCTTTGTGAGACGCGGTGTGGGTGAACGGATGATCTCCGCATGTGTAGTTCCCACCGTGAAGCATGGAGGAGGAGGTGTTATGGTGTGGGGGTGCTTTGCTAGTGACACTTTCTGTGATTTATTTAGAATTCAAGGCACACTTAACCAACATGGCTACCACAGCATTCTGCAGCGATACGCCATCCCATCTGTTTTGCGCTTAGTGGGACTATCATTTGTTTTTCAACAGGACAATGACCCAACACACCTCCAGGCTGTGTAAGGGCTATTTTACCAAGCAGTAGAGTGATGTAGTGCTGCATCAGATGACCTGGCCTCCACAATCCCCTGACCTCAACCCAATTGAGATGGTTTGGGATGAGTCGGATGGCAGAGTGAAGGAAAAGCAGCCAACAAGTGCTCAGCATATGTGGGAACTCGTTCAAGACTGTTGGAAAAGCATTCCAGGTGAAGCTGGTTGAGAGAATGCCAAGAGTGTGCAAAACTGTCATCAACGCAAAGGGTGGCTATTTGAAGAATCTAAAATCTAAAATGATTCCATATGTGTTATTTCATAGTTTTGATGTCTTCACTATTATTATACAATGTAAAACATTTTAAAAATAAAAACAACCCTTGAATGAGTAGGTGTGTCCAAACTTTTGACTGGTACTGTATATATATACACAGTTGAAGTCGGAACTTTACATACACCTTAGCCAAATACATTTAAACTCAGTATGTAGGCATCAGTGAGCTGCTACTAACACACACACACACACACACACACACACACACACACACACACACACACACGTGCATGCCCACACACACACGGAGAGAGAGAGACATCATGCAATGGGATTCAAATAGATTTAACTGATCTATTACTGGTCCTGCATCATAAAAAAACAATAGAACACCAACATGTCTAACACAGTCTCACAAATACGTACTTGGTAACAGAGTTCCAAACATACACCTTGACTCGGGACAAACGGCCACCACCAGCAGCCACCACCACACACTATCAGTTATCCTGTAGGTTCAGTATGGATCTGTACTGCACTCCTGTGGTCATACACCATACTGCATCTCAATGTCACATCAACTATCCTCCTTCCCTAGTCACCAGTCTATTCAATAAAGGTTTTAAAATAATAATTAGATACTGATCCACTAATGGAATTTGAAGAACCTGGTCCTAGATCTGTTCTTGCCAACTCCTATGGTCATTGTCATGCCAACCAAGACAGCACAAACAGATCTGGGACCGGGCTGGTAAATAACTTACCTGGAGAGTAGAAAGTGGGCACAGCCATCAGGAACATACTGGGTCTGCTCTTCAGTCTCATAATAGGCATGGTCTTCAAGAAGATACTGAGCGTTGCCTGTGGGATCGTATGGCAGTTCTGGAGTGTTCTTTACGTTCAGCCTCCCAGTGGGCCTGGCCGCTCTCATTATGGCTATAGTCATCAGACTGGTCTTGGACATTGCCTTCAGTATGGTAGTAGTAGAAAGTAGTAGTATGTCCTTCAGTTTCATAGTGTTGGCTGAGGCCAGCATCTCTCATATCTGCAGCATGGTTGTGGGTTTGGTTGTAGGCATGGTCTTCAGTCTCATGGAGGTCATCAGATGGATGATCAGTGTGTGTGTGGTGGTCAGTGGTGTTGTCGGCTTGGTCCTGACTCACTGTCCACTGATGAGGAACACTCTCACTGGCTTGCTGGCTCCAAGACTGGGATGTAACATCTTCAAGTCTGGAGGTGGGGAAAATGACTAAATGGGTGACAAATACATAGCAAACGTAATAATCACTGACTATCAGTCATTCTCAGTAATGTCCATTAAAGACTGCAAAATCACAGTTTAGAAATCACAGATTAATATTCACATACACGTTGTGTGAGAGAGAGGGGAGCTGGCTCCATTAACTGTGGTGGGGATACAGCTGTAATGAGACAGGTAATGCATATTTAATGAGGCGTAAACAGATTTATAAACACACACACAGTGCTGAAATCAAAGCCTGGTGCAACACACACAAAGTGATCCCTTGTATCCTCTCCAAAAAGCTCTGTTCATGCTGGAGAGGGGTATGAGGCCACACGGGTCAATATCCACTCTCTACCCCGTTCATCCACCTCATTCTTCCCTCACATAGAACACACCATCTTACTCTCTTGATAGCTTTTAACTCTGCTTCCACAGTCCGTGCTACTTTACAAATACCCAGCAGCTGTTTAGAGGCCCATACACACTCCGAAACCCATAGGAAAGACAGGATGGTCTCAGGGCAAACACAAAGAAGCATAATATATATAAAGAAACATCATAACTCTCATTTATCTAAACAATTAAACAGTGTGCAGTATACTGTATGGTACTTTATAGATATTACTTACCCCAGATAGGATGAGTGCGTTTCTTCAAAATCATCTCCACGACCTCCCATTTTCTGATCGACTGACAGGTCTTCGAGGCCCTGTAAAGGTCTTGGAGGCTGGCTTCTCATTGGATGCTCAGCTGTATAGTCAAGCTGACCTTGCAAGAACCTGTCACTCATTGGCTGTGCTATCAGTCTATCACCCTCCTCCGAGAAATGACCTCCACGCGGATGCTCACTGTTCTCCAGTAGCTCATCGGTAGGCGCAGGGTTTGGTCCATGGGCGTGGCTGTGTATCACCCCACATACTCCTTTCTCCATCTCCTCACCTGTGTCCCAACTGGGAGGGTCCATGCCAAACTCTTCCTCCTCTTCCCCCTTGTCCATGAGGTCGCCAGAGAACGGCAGCCCCAACTCTCGCACAGGAGAGGGACCAACCGATTGGTTCTCGGGAGTGCCCATCAACGAGCTGTCACCCAATGGGGACGGTGAGTTGTCTATAAAGGGGAGGGGAGACTGGGGAGTGGGGTGGTGCTGCTGCTGGTCGTCCCGTTCCCTCAGCAGAGCGCCCCAGCCCTGGCTCCGTGAGGGGGGAGATGGGGGGGGGGGGGGGGGGGGGGGGGGGGGGTGTCGGATGGGGAGAGCCGGCCTCGTCCGAGTCCTCCAGAGAGATCTGAGAGTGGACATAGACCTCCTCCCTGGCTTTGAGGAAATGTTGTTCTGCTGGGTATCTCAGGGAGGCGCTGCTACTCTTTACTACTTTGGCGTTCATCTGGCCATTTATAGCGGTCCTCATCCCAGTCTGATCTACCAAGGCCTGCCACTCTCACCTCTGATTGGTGGAGGCTTGGCCGATTGGTGTCTGATTGGCCGCGACTGCTTATCTCTGTGGTTACTTGGATTTCAGGGCTGACGAGATAAGAGGCGGCTGTTCCGGAGTACCGTTGGTTGGTTGTGTGTGAGCTTTGACAGGAGCCAATCGTATTTGTGTTTGGATTTCCACCTGCATCTGAGCAGTATGGGCTGTGGATATCTATGTTTGTTCCATCATGCCTATACAGATCATTGTTTTCTTGGGGATGTCTGTGAGAGGCTGCAGCAGATTGGAGTAGCCGCATAAGAGAGCATACTACATGTCTCTAAGGATCTAGACCCCTCCGTCCTGCCTCTATCACGGTGTCTGGTCACATCCCTCTCTCTATAATCATCCATCCTCTCTCTATCGTTCTCTCTGACTGTCCCTGACACAGTGATGTAATCCATCTCCAGGCCCGATGAGGAGTCTCCGTCTGAGTTGGACCTGACATCCTTGCGGCTCCCCAGAGGAAGGCTATCTGGGCTGGGCTTGAGCCTGTTTTTCCCCACCTGAGCTGGAGCTCAGTGACATAGCATCCATAATGCTACTATTTTCCGTATGATAAGGTCCTCCATCCGGATAGGTCACCTTAGTAGTCCATTGGAGGGACAATGCGCCATTTGGTGGTGATTCAGAATCACCTGATTTTACGACAGGGGTGGAGAGCAGGTCCCAACTGTCAAGCTTTGGGACTGCAGTGGGGTGAGTCTGGGTTGTTGTTGGGTCTCTCCATGTTTGGTCAAAGTTCAGCTCAGTGGCTGGCTCCTCCCCTTGACTCAGAGGCAAGATGTCACTCACTGTGGGGGAGGAGCCATGATCCACCAGCATGAATGGGGAATGGCTACTCAGGTCCTCCGCCCAGTCAGGGCCCTCCAATGCCACAGACCCCTCCCCTCTGTTGTCATACTCGCTTTCCACAGAAGGGCCCCCTGGAACTGGAAGCTGCCCATTTCTGGTCCCTTGACCCAGTCCAGAGGTTCCGTCGAATAGGAACACCTGTCTCCCAGCGGAACTCTGGACAGTCAACTGTTCAATGACTGTCATTGCTGACCCGCTACAATCACCGTTGCCTTTCACAATTGACACCTGATGTTGAGTGGCGCTTCCACTTGACTCTGGCTTTCGCACTGCTATAAAATGGCTGGATTGACCTTGGATCAGCTCAGTAGTGTCTCTTCCAGGGCTGGTCTGGAGGTCAGGGCAGGAGGGCTGACTCCAGACGCCTCCTCCTCCTACGTTATCATACTTGGAGGTAGACGTCACCATGTTGGGGATGGGGACGAGCATAGCCCACTTGTCTGGGTCTTGATCCGGCGGAATTTGATCCTGTGTAATTTGATTCTCTCTCATCATGTGATCATCATGCCCTGATTGGGGCTATATTTGCCCCTCGTCTTCTTCGATGACTATCTGAACGCCCTGGGCCTGTCTCCATACTTAGTCTTGTAGTGGAGATGCTTCTTCTGAATATCTCCCCTCCCCATCCAGCTGCCTCAGGTCTGTCCCAGGCTGTGGCTCCCAGGACTTCATGCCAGCAAGCTCCTCCCTCCCAGTTCCAGCAACCTCTGGACTAGTTGCAGTGGAAGCGCTGTCTTCTTGTATGGTGGTGTTCCTCAGTTCCATCCCCTCGCTGGACACACCCAGTGGAATCTCCAAGGATGTTCCCTGCGCAGGGAGCCCGCAGGTAGGTCGGCCAATAGGTCGGCCAATTCTGGGGTGGTGAGCGTGGATTGGGTGTCCTCGTGGATGGTCATGTTCCATAGGTCCAAATAATCTGGGTAAGATGCGGTCGTGATGCTGGTGGCACTGGTCGCACTGTCCGATTTGAGGAATCCCTTCTGTGCTGAGTAGGTCCAGAAGTCCAGCTCTGTGGAATTCCTGGCTAGACCATCCTCTTCCTCCTTCGAGGTCTCTGGTGTGAGAGGGGTCAGAGCCTCTCGCTTTTTTCCTACCACAGAGGACTGTGCACGTGGTGTGACTTTTATGAGCTTCCCTTCTCTGTTTTCTTCGTTCGGAGGAGTGAGCTGCAAATCGCCCAGTGTCACTGGCTGCCATGGTTCTGTGAAGCCCGAGTCGGAGTTCCAGGTGTCGTAGGGTTCTATGTACTCTTTCACAAGGGTGAGCTGTCTCTCTACGGGTTTGGAACAGACATCCTTCTCTTCTTGTGGCTTAACGTTCCTTCTCTTCCTCCTCCACTCTCCTCATCCTCTTTTAGTCCCTCTAGATCTATGTCAGGTCTAGGACAATCTGTGCAGACGTACCCCACCTCTATCAGGCTCCACGTGTTGGCGTCATCCGAGGTGGAGCCCTTGGTTTCCAAGCCAAAGTCATCCCAGTCCTCTGTCGAGGATACACTCTCTTTATGCTGCAGCCCGTTGATTCTCTCAGCGATATCCTCTGGAAAGAAGCAAACCTATGTGCCACTGTGAGTGCAGCTACCCACTAGGCTGTTGACAGGAGTGGGCGGCACCCTGTTCACGCTCTGGTCCATCAGAGCTCCTCCTCCAATCAGGTCGCTCCCCACCGAACCGACGTGCCCAGCTGATGAATCAGGGGTGTAGAAATCCACCAGGCTCAGCTCGTCAAACTCAGACAGGCTGGAGCTGCTGTGGCCTCCTGTACCTCGAGAGGGGCACAGCACTGCACCTTCTGCAGGTGGAGAGGCGTTACTGCAGTGCAATGGGTCGAGGCTGAAAAGCTCAAAGTTGTCGCCGCTCCTATTCCTGGTTGAGCGCCTCCTCTCAGGTGGAATGGGAGACAGGGACGGGAACCCGAGTGCCGGGTTCAGAAGGAAACCCCCAGCCGTCGCCTCGGCAAGCTCTCCTTGGAAGAGTGACTGCTGCGGACGGTTGTCAGGCCGCTGTCTGGGCTCACCAGGTCGGCACCCACATCGTCGGGCATCGCAACGGCAATAGGGCCCTCTGGCCTATCCACGTCGGAGCCGTACATATCGGTGAAGCACGAGGAGCCCTGGGACAGCGGGGTGCTGCCAGCCACGCCCTCTGTGGATGAGGTCATGCTGCTGGGGGCGCTGGCTAACACGCGGCACCGGCGCTCCATGAACTCCTTAAGGACCTCCATGACCACGAGTCCCAGGCCTCCAGGTGTGTCTGCGAGGGCCTGGTGGTGGTAGAGCTGAACGGAGCCCTGGGAGCCCTGGAGACAGTCCACAGGCTCCAGCCCCAGAGAGAAGCTCGCTGACTCCTCCAGCTCACAGCAGATCTGGAACAGAACAATGACAGCAAGGTGGAATGACAGCATGGTGTAAAAAATGCTTTGCCTTGGCCAAACTGATATATGTTCCATGTTGGTGTCATTTAAACAACATTTTACAATACAAGTGATTCACTTTTTCACATTCAAATGTCAATGTATTTATAGTATTTCCAAAATACACTGCAAATATGTTTGTTTATATCTCTCTCTACTAGGTGATGTGTGTATACAGTGCATTTGGGAAAGTATTCAGACCCCTTGACTTTTTCCACATTTTGTTACGTTACAGCCTTATTCTAAAATGGATGTTTTTTTTGAACAATTTTTTATTTTGTATTTTATGTTTTACAAATAAAAAACAGAAATACATTATTTACATAAGTATTCAGACCCTTTGCTATGAGACTCGAAATTGAGCTCAGGTGCATCCTGTTTCAATTGATCATCCTTGAGATGTTTCTACACCTTGATTAGAGTCCACCTGTAGTAAATTCAATTGATTGGACATGATTTGGAAAGGCACACACCTGTCTATATAAGGTCCCACAGTTGACAGTGCATGTCAGAGCAAAAACCAAGCCATGAGGTCAAATGAATTGTCCGTAGAGCTGCGAGACAGGATTGTGCCGAGGCACAGATCTGGGGAAGGGTACCAAAACATTTCTGCAGCATTCAAGGTCCCCAAGAACAAAGTGGCCTCCATCATTCTTAAATGGAAGAAGTTTGGAATCACTCTTCCTAGAGCTGGCCCTCTGGCCAAACTGAGCAATCGGGGGAGAAGGGCAGGGAGGTGACCAAGAACCCGATGGTCACTCTGACAGACCTCCAGAGTTCCTCCAGCCTCCACTCTTCTGGGAAGGCTTTCCACTAGATGTTGGAACATTGCTGCAGGGCCTTGCTTTCATTCAGCCACAAGAGCATTAGTGAGGTCGGGCACTGATGTTGGGCGATTAGGCCTGGCTCGCACTCGGTGGTCCAATTCATCCCAAAGCTGTTTGATGGGGTTGAGGTCAGGGCTCTCTGCAGGCCAGTCAAGTTCTTCCACGTCGATCTCGACAAACCATTTCTGTATGGACCTCGCTTTGTGCACGGGGGCATTGTCATGCTGAAACAGGAAAGGGCCTTCCCCAAACTGTTGTCACAAAGTTGGAAGCACAGAATTGTGTAGAATTTCATTGTATACTGTAACGTTAAGATTTCCCTTCACTGGAACTAAGGGACCTCGCCCGAATCATGAAAACAGACCCAGACCATTATTCCTCCTCCACCAAACTTTACAGTTGGCACTATGCATTCGGGCAGGTAGCGTTCTCCTGGCATCCGCCAATCCCAGATTTGTCCGTCGGACTGCCAGATGGTGAAGCGTGATTCATCACTCCAGAGAAAGCATTTCCACTGCTCCAGAGTCCAATGGTGGCGAGCTTTACACATCTCCAGCCAACGCTTGGCATTGCGCATGGTGATCTTAGGCTTGTGTGCGGCTGCTCGACCATGGAAACTCATTTCATAAACCTCCAGACGAACAGTTCTTGCGCTGATGTTGGTTCCAGAGGCAGTTTGGAACTCTGCAGTGAGTGTTGCAACCGAGGACAGATGATTTTTACGCGCTACGCGCTTCAGCACTCGACGGTCCCGTTCTGTGAGCTTGTGTGGCCTACCACTTCACGGCTGAGCCGTTGTTGCGCCTAGACGTTTCCACTTCACAATAACACAGGGGCAGCTCTAGCAGGGCAGAAATTTGACGAACTGACTTGTTGGAAAGGTGGCATCCTATGATGGTGCCACGTTGGAAGTCACTGAGCTCTTCAGTAAGACCATTCTACTGCCAATGTTCGTCTATGGAGATGCATGGCTGTGTGCTCAATTTTATACACCTGTCAGCAACGGGTGTGGCTGAAATAGCCAAATCAACACATTTGAAGAGGTGTCCACATACACTATATATACAAAAGTACAGTGGCTTGCGAAACTATCCCCCCCCCCCCCAACTTACAGCTGCAAGTCTCTTGGGGTATGTCTCTATAAGCTTGGCACATCTAGCCACTGGGGTTTTTTCCCATTCTTGAAGGCAAAACAGCTCCAGCTCCTTCAAGTTGGATGGGTTCCGCTGGTGTACAGCAATCTTTAAGTCATACCACAGATTCTCAATTGGATTGAGGTCTGGGCTTTGACTAGGCCATTCCAAGACATTTAAATGTTTCCCCTTAAACCACTCAAGTGTTGCTTTAGCAGTATGCTTAGTGGTCATTGTCCTGTATTTCGCGCCATCCATCATTCCTTCAATTCTGACCAGTTTCCCAGTCCCTGCCGATGATGTGTTCTCGGGGTGATGAGAGGTGTTGGGTTTGCGCCAGACATAGCGTTTTCCTTGATGGCCAAAAAGCAACATTTTAGTCTCATCTGACCAGAGTACCTTCTTCCATATGTTTGGGGAGTCTCCCGCATGCCTTTTGGCGAACACCAAACGTGTTTGCATATTTTTTTCTTTAAGCAATGGCTTTTTTCTGGCACTCTTCCGTAAAGCCCAGCTCTGTGTAGTGTACGGCTTAAAGTGGTCTTATGGACAGATACTCCAATCTCCGCTGTGGAGCTTTGCAGCTCCTTCAGGGTTATCTTTGGTCTCTTTGTTGCCTCGCTGATTAATGCCCTCCTTGCCTGGTCCGTGAGTTTTGGTGGGTGGCCCTCTCTTGGCAGGATTGTTGTGGTGCCATATTCTTTCCATTTTTTAATAATGGATTTAAAGATACTCCGTGGGATGTTCAAAGTTTCTGATATTTTTTTATAACCCAACCCTGATCTGTACTTCTCCACAACTTTGTCCCTGACCTGTTTGGAGAGCGCCTTGGTCTTCATGGTGCTGCTTGCTTGATGGTGCCCCTTGCTTAGTGGTGTTGCAGACTCTGGGGCCTTTCAGAACATGTGTATATATACTGAGATCATGTGACACTTAGATTGCACACAGGTGGACTTTATTTAACTAATTATGTGACTTCTGAAGGTAATTGGTTGCACAATATCTTATTTAGGGTCTTCATAGGAAAGGGGGTGAATACATATGCACGCACCACTTTTCCGTTATTAATTTTTTATACTTTTTTGAAACAAGTTATTTTTTTCATTTCACTTCACCAATTTTGACTATTTTGTGTATGTCCATTACATGAAATCTAAATAAAAATCAATTTAAATTACAGGTTGTAATGCAACAAAATAGGAAAAAACGCCAAGGGGGATGAATACTTTTGCAAGGCACTGTATCTCCTAGGTGATGTGTGTATATCTCTCTACTAGGTGATGTATACACTACCGGTCAAAAGTTTTTCAACACCTACTCATTCAAGGGTTTGACTTTATTTTTACTATTTTCTACATTGTAGAATAATAGTGAAGACATCAACACTATAAAATAACACATATGGAATCATGTAGTAAACAAAAAAGTGTAAAACAAATCAAAATATATTTTCTATTTGAGATTCTTCAAATAGCCACCCTTTGCCTTGATGACAGCTTTACACACTCTTGGCATAGTGTACAGTGGGGAGAACAAGTATTTGATACACTGCCGATTTTGCAGGTTTTTCCTACTTACAAAGCATGTAGAGGTCTGTAATTTTTATCATAGGTTCATTTCAACTGTGAGAGACGGAATCTAAAACAAAAATCCAGAAAATCACATTGTATGATTTTTAAGTAATTAATTTGCATTTTATTGCATGACATAAGTATTTGATCACCTACCAACCAGTAAGAATTCCGGCTCTCACAGACCTGTTAGTTTTTCTTAAAGAAGCCCTCCTGTTCTCCACTCATTACCTGTATTAACTGCACCTGTTTGAACTCGTTACCTGTATGAAAGACACCTGTCCACACACTCAATCAAACAGACTCCAACCTCTCCACAATGGCCAAGACCAGAGAGCTGTGTAAGGACATCAGGGATAAAATTGTAGACCTGCACAAGGCTGGGATGGGCTACAGGACAATAGGCAAGCAGCTTGGTGAGAAGGCAACAACTGTTGGCACAATTATTAGAAAATGGAAGAAGTTCAAGGTGACGGTCAATCACCCTCGGTCTGGAGTTCCATGCAAGATCTCACCTCGTGGGGCATCAATGATCATGAGGAAGGTGAGGGATCAGCCCAGAACTACACGGCAGGACCTGGTCAATGACCTGAAGAGAGCTGGGACCACAGTCTCAAAGAAAACCATTAGTAACACACTACGCCGTCATGGATTAAAATCCTGCAGCGCACGCAAGGTCCGTCTGAAGTTTGCCAATGACCATCTGGATGATCCAGAGGAGGAATGGGAGAAGGTCATGTGGTCTGATGAGACAAAAATATAGCTTTTTGGTCTAAACTCCACTCGCTGTGTTTGGAGGAAGAAGAAGGATGAGTACAACCCCAAGAACACCATCCCAACCATGAAGTATGGAGGTGGAAACATCATTCTTTGGGGATGCTTTTCTGCAAAGGGGACAGGACGACTGCACCGTATTGAGGGGAGGATGGATGGGGCCATGTATCGCGAGATCTTGGCCAACCAGCTCCTTCCCTCAGTAAGTGCATTGAAGATGGGTCGTGGCTGGGTCTTCCAGCATGACAACGACCTGAAACACACAGCCAGGGCAACTAAGGAGTGGCTCCGTAAGAAGCATCTCAAGGTCCTGGAGTGGCCTAGCCAGTCTCCAGACCTGAACCCAATAGAAAATCTTTGGAGGGAGCTGAAAGTCCGTATTGCCCAGCGACAGCCCCGAAACCTGAAGGATCTGGAAAAGGTCTTTATGGAGGAGTGGGCCAAAATCCCTGCTGCAGTGTGTGCAAACCTGGTCAAGACCTACAGGAAATGTATGATCTCTGTAATTGCAAACAAAGGTTTCTGTACCAAATATTAAGTTCTGCTTTTCTGATGTATCAAATACTTATGTCATGCAATAAAATGAAATTAATTACTTTAAAATTATACAATGTGTGTACCTATGATAAAAATTACAGACCTCTACATGCTTTGTAAGTAGGAAAACCTGCAAAATCGGCAGTGTATCAAATACTTGTTCTCCCCACTGTATCTCTCTACTACGTGATGTGTGTGTATCTATGTGGTCCTGATGTAAAAGAACACATACCTGGTTGAGAATGTCAGAGTTGTCTGAGTACACTGCCACCTGCTGGCGTGAATGGCGAGGGTCACTCTGGTGAGATGAGACTACGACTAGACTGTCATAACCATGGTGGTGACAGAATGACTTGAACTCCCCATTCAGGCCATGATGAGCATTCCAGTCCTAGGTGGTCATATGAAAGTAGGAAAGATATGTGTTAGATTTAAAGACTCACTCCAGCCTCCAGCTTCCCTAGCGCAATACTTAGTATCTCAAATTGATTGTGTAGCTCAACAAAGTCACTTATAGATGATTTGGACTTAATGCACAAAAAATGCTAATATAGGTACCATGACTTGCATGGGATTTGTGCCAGAGATGCTAAAACGTTAGCATTTGGAAAACAGTGCCAGTGAAACTAAACCAAAGCATGGATTGTGATCATACCGTGTCCATAGACTGCTTACAGGGTAAGGCAAACAATTTGTAATTTGGGTGATCTATTCCTTTAATATTAATTAATTATTTATCTAAACCATTTTGTGCCACTTAAAAAACTCCACTTAAACTGATATAAAAACGTTTTGGTCCCGGGTCTACTTTTTTGCATCGAGTCAAAAGTGTTTATAAGAATGTGTTTGTCTATTTTGATGAGTGACTAAGCTGTCAGGGCACAGAGAGGGGTAATGAGACATTTTATGATTTATCATTTGCTCTTAACACATCAAACATTCCTAGATTATGGTAATTCTCTGACAGCTCCGGTGATTGATGGAGAGAAAGTTGCATTAATTAATAGGTTTGTTTGTCAAGGGAGCTTGTTTTTTCCATCTAGTTTTTTTTTCTCTTCAATGATTAACAATGATGCTGTGGCATCCCTAATTTGCAAGACAATGTTCATGAAAAAAGTGTGTTACATTTTAAAACAAATAGTGAAATGAATCACTATATTTGTTGCATGATGGTTGTTTGTTTTTTCAATGGCGCACAAGTTAACATACTTGTATGCTTTTAAATAACACCCTTCATTTTTTTAAAGAAACCTATGTCATTATAACTTATAATAATACAGGGAAATTGTCAACACATTAAAACACAACATTATATCAAATATAAACAAAAAGATAACATGAATTGAATAGATTTAGAAAATGAACAAATATTGTTTAAATAAGTACTGTGTGTACAAGTACATTGTAATTGCATGAAATATATGTGTAAAGAAACTTCTCAGTCTCCTTCCCTGGTGTTTCCAGATCAATTAAGGAAAATTCTGCCATTAAGACTGGTATAATGTGTCCTGGGACAGGAAGCAGTTTATGAACTATTGTAACGCAGTATAGGAAGTGAATACCTACTGCACATCTGCAGAGGCAACAGTGGATATCTATAAGAAGAGGTTGACATACTATGTCCAGGGCATTATCAATCACTCCTCTCTCTTTGCATCTCTGCAACCTTGTTACACACCATTCCAGGCTACATTCCCTGTGCTGTGTCTGTGTAGTTGCGTGCGACACGCCTGAGTATGTGTGTGTGTGTGCGATAGTGCATTGTGAGTTGTGCGATCCGTGCCTGTGCCTGTGCGTTGTGTGAAGGCCCAGTAGAAGTGATGGATGGATGCTGTAGAGCATGTTGTTGCCCAGGCTGAGATAATATTAACCTATGTGGATGAGGGCCACACGGCTTCTCTCTTGGCTCTCCCCCTGCACAATATGGCTGCTGTCAGGGAGAGCCCCATCAATCTGATCACACACAACTGTCACCCCCCGGCGACACAGTCATTTTCCCACCAGCGATATCCTGATGAGTGCAATGAGGCCTCTGCAGCCTTGTTAAAAACACACATATTCACTCACTCACACAGGCAAAAGCACACACCCACTCAAGGACACACCAACTCAAGGACATGCACACACATAAACACACGCTGTATATAATATGTCGACTCATGAACACAATTATACAAACAGTGATGTGCACATACCTTGCACCCACCCCACCCCACACAAGCTGGAAAACACAGAGAGAAAGTAAAGCACAAATCAGATGACACGCAGAGCCACAGTCTGTCTGCCATTTGTTTGTAACGCGAGTAAATTACAAGCCACATCCCCCCCATGCTCGCCCCCCAACATCCCCAAATCATCAGCTATAATTTCACTTACTAACCTCATGATACCAACCCATGGCCTCTCTTTCACATTGCCTAAAAGCACAGAACCCATCTTCTAAACTTTAAACACCCTATCTACATCGGAGTTATTTCTAAAGAGATTTTCCTCCACGAAGATTCACTCCCCCCTCCCCCGTCATTCCACCTATTCAAACAGAGCCTCTCACGTTCCTCTCCTTACCCCACCCCATGGTTTTGTACCTCTCATGTAGAGGATCTACAGTGAGGGAAAAAAGTATTTGATCCCCTGTTGATTTTGTATGTTTGCCCACTGACAAAGAAATGATCAGTCTATTTTTAATGGTTGTCAAGGGGTGCTGAAGGTGGGTGTGGTGCATGAATCAAGCGCAGGACACGAAGCTCAGTCCAAAGAC